AAAAGGTACTCAAGCGATTTAATATGGACCAAGCTCACCCATTGACCAGCCCAATGGTAGTTAGAAGCTTAAGTGATGACCCTCTTGGTCCCAAAAAGGATGATGAAGAAATCCTTGGTCCTGAAAAGCCATACCTCAGTGTTGTAGGAGCGTTAATGTACCTGGCTAGTCACACTAGACCAGACATATGTTTCGCCGTGAACCTCCTCGCTCGATATAGTTCATCCCCAACTCAGAGGCACTGGAACGGTATAAAACATCTCCTAAGATACCTTCGAGGTACTCAAGACTTAGGACTCTTCTATACTAACAAAAATAAAGATGGGTTAGTCGGCTTCGCCGATGCAGGATATCTATCAGATCCGCACACTGCCAAGTCTCAAACTGGCTACGTTTTTACGCATGGAGGAACAGCCATCTCTTGGAGATCAATGAAGCAGACACTCACTGCCACTTCATCAAACCATGCTGAAATCCTAGCCATTCATGAGGCTAGTAGGGAATGCGTCTGGCTGCGCTCCATGACTCAGCACATCCGCAGAGATTGTGGTATGGACGAAGACACACAACCCACGGTGATGTATGAAGACAACGCGGCATGCATAGCTCAGCTCAAGGAAGGATATATCAAAGGAGATCGGACGAAGCACATTCTACCGAAGTTCTTCTCAACCTCAGACTGGCAGAAGGACGGCACTCTCAGCGTTCAGCAGGTCCGATCCAGTGAGAATTCAGCTGACCTCTTCACCAAATCATTGCCTACTTCAACACACCGGAAGCTCGTCAAACAGATAGGAATGTATAGACTTAGAGATCTGCAGTGATGCTACAATCAGGGGGAGTAATGCGTGTTGTACTCTTTTTCCTTCACCATGGTTTTGTCCCACTGGGTTTTTCCTGGTAAGGTTTTAATGAGGCAACATTCCCCAGCACATTATCGAGATCCCGATTGAGTAGCTGACCCGGTTCACTAGTCCAAGGGGGAGTGTTATAACACATATCATATATGGACTCTTATACCGGCCCATTAGGCCCATCAGGGCATTGTACTTAACCTAGATTCCCTATGTACTCTATATATACATTCCAGTGATTAATAAAGTATCTAAGTTTTCACAACAAAATCAACATTGTTAAAAGCTGACTAATTATCTTTTCATTTAAAATAGTGTATTGACACAACAAAATAACAATATAAAAAGAAAAAATATACTAAAAAAACTAAGGCTTTTAAAAACATAAATATCGATTTAAAAAAAGTTCCTCAATTATTTTATAAAGGACAGGCCAATTGTTTCGATTTTGGTAACGCAGGCACGGTCCTGGAAGGACAAGAGATTGAGCACGCCTAAGAAGCCAATAAGAGAGGTGGACAAGAAGTATCGCACAGAACATGAATGATTATAACAGCATAACTGTTAGCTGTGTGAGTAGCCCGTATTGTCAGAATGGTAGATGCTAATAATTTCCAAAATAGTCAATTATAAATATTCTTGTACATTAGCTATCTACTGTATTGGCTCTAAATTTTCAACTGTGTATTGACTATTCTTGCTTTCTTTCATTTTTATTTTTATGTTCTTTAACGAGTTACAAACCTATAATCGGTATAGTTGGAACAACACGACAGAAACAATTAGTAATTTAGTATGTTTATTGCTGTTAGTCGATGATAATACAATTTGGCTGTGGTAATAAGTCATAGTCATATATTTAAAATGAACACAAACAAGTATACCAATGATGAAGAGCAAGGTTTTAGAAGAGATAGGTAATCTTCTATCATATGGTTAATCGGATATATATATCGATCTATTAGTAATGTATAACTTACTCCAGCGTATTTTCCAATTTCATAATTACACATGATGAGCTAGCCAAGCATAGTTGGAACTTGGACTTCAATGCCTTTTTTACTAAGTTGGACGATTAGTGATTTTTTTTTTTTTCATCTTGAAAAGGATTAAGGATTGAAAAGATGAACATAGTGAAGGTTTGTTCCACTCAACAACTTAAACTTTTCTTGTCCATAATAACATAAAGTAAGGAGGAGAAACAGAAAAACATGGAGGTTAATTAAGAGAGTATTGGCGTCGTTTGTTTGAGAAATAATCACAGTTTCTCATCATCCAATATTTCTCTATCTCATTTGCCTCTCGTCCTGCCACTCTTCCTGCTATTAAATCCCACCTGATATTATTCAATTTATGGCCAACAAATTATTAATTCCATTTAATTACTATTTTCGTTTTATGATTATAAATAATAAACTGAACTAACTGGGATAAACCTGAACTACAAGAATATAAACAGAGTTCTAAAAAAATATAAAACAGAAAGTGTATAATTAACGTCAATGTAACATTTAAAATTCATAATAACATTTATGAAATAGTCATGTATAATTGGAAGTGAAACACTAATATATACTGGAGGTATCCTATACTTTGCTCGAACATAAACATAAAAAGGTAAAAAATTATGTGGTAAAACTTTTATCAGTTTTGACAAAAACAAACTTTTATCAAGTTTTTATTAGAGAAATGAGAGAATATAAACAAAAATGAAGTTACACAAAATCATGAATATGTAATGTTAACTACTAAGTGGATTAAACATCATGTTCAACTACGATTAGATTATAAAAATATATCATTTCAAAAAATAGAAACGAAATTTCTACTTTTGTTATGAAGAATCATTTGACAAGTTAGGTTCATATTTTGATATATTTTGATATGAGTATGTATAAATATATCGTGGAACATCATATATAATATCTTTAAATATAATATTGTGGACGCCATTGGTTCACGTTATACATGCCTAAATTCACACACAAACATTGTATAAAAAGAATTATATCAAAATTTTGAAATTTGGAGCGAGATAAATCCATGAACAAAAAAGAAGAATTTATTTTACCTTTTACCGACAAGTCTGTACATTGGAAAATGGAAGAATATAAATATTGTAGAGAAAACCTGAATATTTGGAGTTGGAGGATGCAAGGACAAAGAAAGAAAGATGTGAGGTAGAAAAAAGTATATAGAGAACTAGTGAAGAAGAGGAGAGAGCGAAAGACATAAAGAGAGACCCCAAACAAAATAGGTTTTAAAGGTTCCAAAAAAAAAACAAAATAGGTTTTTATTAGAATTATGCATGTATTTAATGGAAAAAACAAAAGTCTTGCATGTATTTGAATTCGAGTTCTCACTTTCCTTTAAGCGATCGAAGTTTTTTGTGTGAAGATTTTGCATGTTTTACTGGTCTTTAACTAGTGGAATCCTTTTTTGTGGAAATCTTTATCGTCAATCTTTACCTCGGCTCACTGGTAGAATCCTTTTTTTGTGTAGAAACAACCAAATCTAACACTGTTTTTACTTTGTGTTATATGTAAATTATAGGGAAAAGTAATAAAACGTTTTTGACTTATTATTTATCGATATTTTAAATTTGTTTAATGTTATCTTTTTTAAAAAAAATTTGGATGTTCATTTCGAATCTCGGTTCATTTTTTCCTGGTTGGTTAAAATTAATTCATATTAAAACCATAATTTATTTAGTTTGGTTTGAGTATTCTCGACTTTTGTTTATTCAAATTTTAACAAAAAACCATAACTCAATATGATTTGATAACTTTAGTGTTTGAAAATTGGATTCAAAATCATATTCACTAGAATAAAAAAAATAGTAATATTAATATTCTAACGTATAAATAAATAATTTACATTTTTTTTCAGATTTGAGAGTTTTGCCAACAAATATAAAAAATAGTAAGATCAAATTGATTGGTTTAATTGAGTTGTAAGTTATATTTTTGTTTGTTCTGCTAAATAAAAGTAACTTATAACTCAATTAAACCAGTCAGTTTGGTCCAGTTATAAGGTACAGTTCTCGTCAAGTTCATTTTGGACAGTTTGCTGCAGTTACAAGAAAATAATGAACCATTACATAGTTCAATAATTCATAGTTGTAATACATGCATGATAATAAGATAGACCGCCTGTTTGAGCCCGATAACAGTTGTGTAAGGGCATTGTTGCAGTACAATCGTTTTATAGATATTTTTGTAAGAGATTATTAGGGTTTTCTCATTTTTTATAACAAATATCTTAAAAGTATAAGTGATACGTTCACAATATCAAAAAAAAATTGAACAGTGGTTTATTTTTGACTTATGTTTTTCTTTTATTTTACTTATGATTTGCTTACATTTTGGGGATAAAAAGAAAAAATATACTAATAAAACTAAGGATTTTAAAACATAAATATCTATTTGAAAAAATTCCTTAATTGTTCTTATAAATGTGTCCCCATATATAGGCCATTGTTTCGATTTTGGTAACGCTGGCACGGTCCTGGAAGGACCAGAGATTGAACACGCCAAGAAGCCAATAAGAGAGGTGGAGAAGAAGTATCATACAGAAGATGAATGATTATAACATGAGAACTGTTAGCTGTGTGAGTAGTCCGTATTGTCAGAATGGTAGATGCTAATAATTTTCAAAATAGTCAATTATAAATATTCTTATACATTAGCTATCTACTGTATTGGCTCTAAATGTCTTCGTTTACTTTTCAGTTTTCACTGTGGATTGACTATTCTTTCTTTCTTTCAATTTTTTTCTTTTTCTTTTAACGAGTTAGTCACAAACCTATAATCGGTATAGTTGGAACCACGACAGAACCAATTAGTAATTTAGTATTTTTATTTCTTTTAGTCGATTATAATACATTTTGGCTGTGGTAGTAAGTCATTGTCATATATTTAAAGTGAATCACAAACATATAAATGATGAAGCAAGTTTTAAGAAAAAGGTAGGTAATCTTATCTCATGGTTAATCCGATCTATCATCTAATAGTAATGTATAATTTACTCCAATGTATTTTTCAAATATATATCTACAGTTATGAGCCAGCCAAGCATAGTTGGAGTTAAGTTATATAAATATAAGACTAAAAGGTATCTTGTGATTTCTGTGACCATTAGTAAGGATTTTTTTTTTCATATTGTAAACGATTAAAGATTGAAAAGATGAACATATTGAAGGTTTGTTCCACTAAACAACCCCCTAAGCTTTTCTTGTTCACATGTAACATAAATTAAGGAGGAGAAAGAGAAAAACATGGAGTTTAATTAAGAGAGTGTTGACGTCGTTTGTTTGAGAAATAATCACAGTTTCTCATTATCCAATATCTCTCTATCTCATTTGCCTCTCGTCTTGCCACTCTTCCTGCTATTAAATCCCACCTGATATTATTCAATTTATGGCCAATAAATTATCAATTGAATTGAATTACTAATTTCTTATGATTTAAAATAATAAACTGAACTAAGTGGGATAAACCTGAAGTTGGTTAAGAATATAAAAAGAGTTCTAAAACAATTATAAAACAGAAAGTGTATAATTAACGTCAATGTAACAGTTAAAATTCATAACAACTTTTATGAAATAGCCATGTATAATTGGAAGTGATATACTAATATAAACTGGAGGAATCCTACACTTTGCTCCATCATAAACATAAAAAAAAAGTAAATAATTATGTGGTAAAATTTTTATCAGTTTTGACAAAAACAAACTTTTATCAAGTTCTTATTAGAAAAATGAGAGAATATAAACAAAAACGAAGTTACATTAAATCATGAATATGTAATGTTGATAATTAGTATATGGATTAAACATCATGTTAAACTACGTACGATTAGATTATAAAAATATATCATATCAAAAAACAGAAACGAAATTTTTACTTTTATTATGAAGAATCATTTGACAAATTAGGTTCATATTTTAATATGAGTATGTATAAATATATCGTGGAACATCATATATAATATCTTTAAATATAATATTGTGGACGCCATTGGTTCACGTTATACATGCCTAAATTCCACACATACATTGTATAAAAAGAATCAGGTTAAGAATTTGAAATTTGGAGCGAGATAAATACATAAACAAAAAAAGAAATTTTTTTTACCTGTTACCGACAAGTCTGTACATTCGAAAGATGAGATCTTCTTCTTGTTCGGTCATACTGATAAACTCCCATTCCATACTACTGACTTCTGCATTTTAGTAAGTTATATTCACACACATAGTTACAAATGAAAGAATACGAAGGAAAAAGATTTAGCGAAGAAAATTTAAATGGATGCGTATATATAGGACCCAACGTAAAGAAAGATTAGACATTAACTGAATCAAAGAGAGACCTTCGGAGTCATATCGCGTAAACTTGATTTGCTTGCGACTGCGAAGGCGGCGAAGACGGTTGGTATTATCCATTAATATTGGAAAATGGAAGAATATAAATCTTATAGAGAAAACTTGGATATTTGGAGTTGGAGGATGCAAAAAGATGTGAGGTAGACAAAAGTATATAGAGAACTAGTGAAGAAGAGTTCTTTCTCAAAAAAAAAAAAAAAACTAGTGAAGAAGAGGAGAGAGCGAAAGACATAAAGAGAACCCCCAAACAAAATCGTTTTTAAAATAGAATTATGCATGTCTTCTTTAATGGAAAACAAAAAAAAAAAGTTTTGCTTTTGCATTTATATTTGAATTCAGTACTCATGACTTTCTTTCAACCGATCAATTTTTGTTTGTGTGTAAAGATTTTGCATGTTATTGTCGATCTTTAACTCGGCTTACTAGCTAGTGGAACCCCTTTTTGTGTAGAAACAACCAAATCTAACATTGTTTTTGAATCAAGTCAATAATTAAGAAATTGTGTGATTTTTCATTTTATTTTTACTATTAACGACCTAATTTGAGTGACAAATATCATCTCAATGAGTACTGTTAACACGTAATCAGTATGACAGCACATTCATATTTTTGGAATTCTTACGGACGGAGATGGCTGTGGACATGTGGTCCTCTGGTTATGTATATATTAAATACAACTATATTATTTCAGAGTTTTCGATATCAGTTCAGAGTTTTATTTTCCCTAATTTCTAATTGGAAAAATGTACAAAAACGTGTTAATTTTTGGGTTGTGAATTGTGATCTAGATACGTCAAACGTAATCGTACTTGCTGCCACACTAACGAAACTTCTGTTTTATTTTATTTTGGGGTACTTTTTAATGCATATTTTTGGCCTTCTACACATATTACCTTTCATATACAATATAAATATATATATATATATATATATCCTATTTACATGTCTACTCGTTATTATCTCAGCGATAATAAATTTAGCGACCGTAATAAACTGACATATCAATTTCATTTCCATTGTTAACAAACAGAAAAGATGTAGGAAATGTGTCTTGAAAATTCATTTCTTAATCTTTTTTTCTTTCTTAAAGGTAAATCTATTCATCTTTCAATATTGTTCTGCTTTTCCAAATATACCGTTTAGAGATACCTTTTTTTTTGATAAAGGCTTTTACCTTTTAGAAATATTCATCTTAAATTTAAGCGTGAAATTATTTAAAATAATATATAATAATGTGATTCATAATAGAAAAAAAATCCTAGCTACTGGTCCAAAAACTTTCGATTTATTTAACAAATGGAATTAAGGCCTTGCTTAATTGAAATATAACTTTTGATATTTTGATATTATATTAAACACTTCCTTGCTATTTTAATGGTATTCTTTTCTTATAGTGTAATGTTTGATTTCATTATCTCAAAATACTATTGGTTGTGTTTAGTGAGGACTTCGTATCTATCACTACAAGAAAACATCATATATTTTAACTACATATATTATAAAAAAAATAGTAAGAAACAACTATTTTTTTCCAATTTCCTACGAAATATTTTTGTAGGTTCTATGCCATCGGAAATCTTAAAGGGTAAGAAAATAGTATGAAATTTCTTACAAAAATATTGGTAGAAAAATGTCGTCGGAAATGTTGGTAGGATATTCGTAAAAAAATACCTACCAAATTATTTCCATTTTTTTTTATTTAGTTCTTTCCAATTTCTTACGAAACAATACCTACATATTCCTCCTGTGAAATATTCCTACCATTTTCTACCACTTTTCAGATTTTATAAAAAAAAAATTAATTTTATAAAATCGAAAAATAGAATTAATTTCAAAAATTCAATTTAAATTAAAAGATAAATTAATTGTTAATTCGATTATTAATATATATATATATATATATATAGAAGATGAAGATTAATTAAAGGAAATATGAATACCTTATTTATAGTGTAACTTTATCATGTAAATTACTTTAGGTTCTCAATGTGGGACAAAAATCAAAAGTTGAAATATTCCTACTGAATTCCTACGATTTTTGTACATATATTATTTCGTCAAAAAATGCGTAGGAAATTTCCGACGAAATTATTGGTAAGAAATACTCTACCGTTTTTGACGTTTTATTTTTATAGAAAAATTCTAATCACTTTCATTTTTCACTGTAATTGCGTAGAAAATTGGTTGTAAAAATTATTACTAAATATTTTTAATTATTACTAAATATTTTGTCAAAACTTTTGTAGAAATATATGATATTTTTTTGTAGTATATGTTTTCGCCTGTATAGCTTAATCATTAAACAGCAGATAATAGTGTAATATACATATATAGTTTCGTAAAATTTACACGGAAATCAGATATTTGAATATAAACATCGAAACACCAAACATAATGGCAGTTAGTCACTTCAACTATGATTAATTCTTAGATCTTCAGCAGAGACAAAACCATACATTATTCTTTATCTGTAACGTATCAAATGAGTATATGTATGAGTCCTGACAAAATTTAAAACCAGATCAATAAATATGAAGAAGAAAAAAGAAAAACAATTTAAAGAAAAACCCATATATAGTTTGTTCAATGGTAGATGTTTGATTGATATAAGACCTTAGTCGACAATGTATATCTAAAGTGGTCCAAAAGGACATGTAAGAACGATCGAGTAGATTCGCTTAACCAAACACATTAAACGAACGAATGGGTTCATCTATCTTAGCCGTCCTCACTGAGGGTCCGATTGGTCGACATGTATAGAGGGAAAGGAAAGAGTGGGATTTTTTTTACTCTTGAATCCTACAAAAAAAAAACACCAATCAAGGTGAAGGGAGATTAAAAGGAAGTGGAATTTTTTTCTCTTTTCTTTGTTGATAATAGGAAATTGATCCCACAGGCAAGTGAGAAAATTTCCCTCTCAATTTCTACTTTTCCTTTCTTCTCTATCCCTTCCCTCTTAATTCTTCTCAATTATTTACTCTATTGTCAACCAATTAGACACTGTTTCTCTTTACATAATTTTTCATGTTTTAAATCATTGTCAAAATTGTGCTAATAACAAAAACTATCTTTTTAATAATCCAGCAAATAAATATATAAAAGTCAGTGGAGTTTTTTTTTTGTAGCACTCTGAGAATTGTTATCTTTTCATTTTTTTTCGTCTTACTTTACAAATATACCACAACTTTCAAACAATTAAAAAATATAACAAAAGGTTTTGGAAAGGTTTTCATATTGTTAATTAGAAACGGTCTGATAAGAGATCGCATAAGATGATAGGAGAAGCTATATCATATAATACTAATGTTGTATTAATAATATAATGAAATGAACGATTTTAACGAAATGAGAGAGCCCTGAATTTAATTACGATTTTCAAAAGTTTTCTAGGTGATAATCGAACATCTGTATTAAAAAAAGTTCGTTACTGATTCGGCCAAAATCGGGACGCCCAAGTGATTTTGGCCGCCTAAGTTTGCCCTGGCCCGACCGATTTATATCAGAGACAGAATGTAATCTTTAAAAAATCTGTTAGTTTCTAATCATAAAAAAAAAGGTCATGGACCTCATGGTGACAGCTCTTAGAGCTTCTTTATCAGCAAGAATAGTCTCCGGTTTTACTTCACGTGAGAAATATGAGCTGGCTCGCCTTGAAGAGTTGAAGCAGCATAAGGATTCCGCCAACCAAAAAAATAACTCTCTTAAAAAAAATAAACACACACACACACAGACACAGACACACACACACACAGAGTATAAGATCATCTGGAGTATATATATGTTATTCAGAAATGATACAAAAATTACCATATATATATCTGTTCTGTTCGGAAAAAAAAGGAATTACTAGACCATAAAATAGTCTTTGAGGAAAACTAAAGAGTCAAATGTCAAAGCCGTGTTTATTTCCCCAAGACTTCTACATCGAGGCTATTTAGTTGAGTCTCAATATATCTAATGCAAAGTTCTTGACTTCTCTTCTGAATTCTAATTACAATAATCAAAATTCATATTAAACCAAAAAAAAAGAAACATTTTATTCCGAAAGACTTGCCATTATATCCCAAAAAAATGACCAAACCACCAAACATGCCCCACACTAAACAATCTCAACCTCTTGGGCTCATCTTCCTATTCTTCAACCTGATCATCAACAAGCAGTACCACTAAAACATGGCTCTCACAAAACTCTTTGCAGTTTTTCTCATCTGCCTCTTCAGTTTCTACTCTAAAACTGCCAAGTCACAGTACTGCGGCTGCTCTCCCATCCTTTGCTGCAGTCAGAAAGGTTATTGTGGTATTGACGACGATTACTGTGGCTCTGGTTGTCGATCCGGTCCTTGCAGGAAAAGTAAAGAGCCGCTTGACAGGATTGTTACACAAGAATTCTTTGACAAGATTATTAGCCAAGCCAATAATAGCTGCGCCGGAAAAAGATTCTACACCCGTGACTCTTTCATCAACGCCGCTAATACTTTCCCAAACTTTACAAGTTTCGTTACCAGGCGCGAGATCGCTACACTATTTGCACATTTCACTCACGAGACCAAACGTACGTACGGGACTTTTCTTTCTCTTATATATATATATGTATATATATATACCAAGAAAAGTCTAGAATTTATTCCGGTTGGGAAACAAATCTTGACTCTACTCCGGTCTAAAATTGGCCACGTATAGAATTTAGCAAATTATGAAATAATTAACAGTTGAAATATCAAAGGTTTAGTCTCCGATTATTTCACAAACAAAAAAGTCTGGGTCTTAGAATAGTATTCTTATATTTTTTCGAAAAAAGAAAAGAATTGTTTTTAAATGAAATATTGATCTCAAACTGGTACCGACCACTTAGCTTCATAAAATTCTCTATGTTTAGATTTTTGCTACATAGAGGAGGTAGGGAGTTCAGGTGACTACTGCGACAAGAACAACAGAGAATATCCATGTGCACTGGGCAAGAACTACTATGGTCGTGGTCCGTTCCAACTAACATGGAACTACAACTACGGAGCTTGTGGTCGGATTCTCGGTGTCGACCTTCTAAGCCAGCCCGAGTTTGTGACTAGCAATCCAAATGTGTCTTTCGGGACGGCCTTATGGTTTTGGATGAATAGCGTTAGGCCGGTGCTGAGCCAAGGATTTGGAGCGACTATTAGAGCCATCAATGTGATGGAGTGTAACGGGGAGAACTCAGGTGCGGTCAATGCAAGGATTAGGTACTATAGAGACTATTGTGGCCAGCTTGGTGTAGAATCTGGTGCCAACATCACTTGCTAAAAAAATGCACCGAATATAGAAGTGATGTAAAGCTTTTGTAGTAATATAGTGAGAATGAATCAAATTATTTAAAGATTAGTAAAAGAATTATACAAAAGACTATTTGATTTTTTACATTTATGGTATTTGCTTTTATACTCGCAATCGCAAGAACTGGTAGCTTGGTACGACATATATGGCTGTAATTCATTACGCAAGAAAAAATGTAAATTGATAAGTACTTGTAGCTAGTTGATGGTTCCAATGGTAACGTGCAGTGGTCCAAACAGAATCGAGTGGTCAATTTGGACCGATATTTATACAGACATAGCGGGTGGTCAAGTTGTATCAAATACTCATAATTGGTTTTGATTAACTAGTATAAATGTTTTTCCAAAATTTCCAAAATATTTCAAAAAAAATGTAAACCACAGTTGAGTTGTCCTATTTTGATAGTTGATGTGCGATCCAAATGTGATTCACAAAAAAATGATAGAAAAAAAACCAAAAAAAAAAAATGACCCCCAACGCATTTTAATTGCGTCCTGCACATAGATTATATGTTTGTAGTAAATAACCTTTTCGAAAAATCTTTTTGAGCTGACTTGAACATTCAATGTAATTTTCATCTGTAAAGTTTCTTAAGAAGAAAAAAAGATAAAAAATCCATCTCCTGCTAGCTTAGCTAGTTACGAGGAGTTTAAAAGTCACATGGCTCTCTTTGTCTCTTCCAAATTCTTTTGAACCGTACTTTAATTTTTTTTGTCTATGTTATTGATCCACATCGAACAACGATGTCAGATGTCTCGTGTCTGCATCTAAAACATAATTGATCTCTTTTTGCAAGCAAATAACAGTTTAGGTTATATTTCCACAGGAATGATCAATGGGGGAATAACAACAAAATCTAATTTGGATATCATCAACAACCGTTAATAAGATCTTACTTACTGGCCTTGGTAGGAAGAGCTTAAGTTATCTTGATTTTCTTGTGAAATATCTTGAACTTCTTCCGAATAGTGTGAAGTATCTTGACTTGGTTTCGAGAAGCTTGAAGTCTCTTGAACTGTTAACGCTGGTAAAGATAAAAGAGGCTTAGGTGGAATCTGGAGAGCCTCTGTACTCCCTTCTAACATTTCAACGACATGGCTCATTGGAGGACGATCAAAAGGATTGGTCTGAATACACCACAGACCCACAATTACCAGTTTTTTAACAATCTTCTCATCTTCTTCTTCTGTTATTTGATCCTCGAAAAATCTCATGATTTCTCCCTTGTCAAGATCTTCATAAATCCAATCTGGGAAGTACATTGAACTGTTGTTGGATCCACCATTTTGAGCTCTTTCTATGTTTTTTGCTCCAATCATCTCAAGAACCACCATTCCATAACTATACACATCCGACTTATGAGAAACTCCTCCATAATTCTTGGAAAACACTTCTGGAGCAATGTACCCTATTGTGCCTCTCGCGTCTAGCATTGACATGATGCTTTCATTATTTTTGCATAGCTTTGCAAGACCAAAATCCGAAATTTTGGGGCAAGCACCTCCATCGATGAGTATATTCTGCGGCTTTATATCGAAATGTACAATCCTCGATACACAACGGTTGTGCAAGTAATCTAGGCCACGAGACACACCTAGTGCAATGTTGTATAACGTTTTCCAATCCATCTTTGTAGACATCTTCTCGGAGATGAACTTGTCTAGGGATCCATTGGGCATGAACTCATATACTATAGTTTTCTTGTTTCCTTCATAGCAGAATCCAAGAAGAGAAACAATGTTAACATGAGATGTTCTACTCATGCTAGCTACTTCATTGATGAACTCTTCCCCATTCCCGGTTGACTCCTTCAATATTTTTACTGCAACATCTCGGCTGCCATCAGGTAACTTCCCTTTATAGACAGTTCCAAATCCTCCTTTCCCAAGAACATTCGAGAATGATTTTGTCATCTTCTTGACTTGTGCATAACTAAATCGTTTCAACATTACAACTGCTTCGATGTTCTTCCTATTCTGATCCTTCTTTTTCATATTATTTGCTCTCACCTTTACCACTACCGCAATAATGATAATCATAGCAAAAGCTGATAAGACTCCTGCAAGAAAACAAGTCTGGAAAGTTATTTAGCTGGTATAATTAATCTGAGTAAGACAGTTTTGGAGTAATGTCACACGGTTGAAGTGTACCAAGTATGATTGTTAACTTCAATATTGGAGATTTACCTGCAAATGTATCAACCAAAGATTTCGATCAACAAACAAAAAAAAAATAGTTATTTTTCGTAGGTCCAAGAAAATTGAATTAAGTAACGTTTTGCCTGTTCGAGTTTTTCGGACACTGAGGGAGCTTAAAAGAATATATATATTGGTATTATGAGGCGCTAATTAATGGAGATTCAGCCATTGAAGACATTTTATTGCTTTCTCCAACAAGTAACTTAATTACTTATCATCAATATACATATATAAGTAGCAACAGAATTCACATAGTGATTTTATATGGATCCAAAAACATGTATGTTGTATTTTTATTTTTGTCAATATCACGCATTCTACCAAGTTTGACTTATCTATTACAAATGCAAACCACTAATGTCTTATGGGGGCATTTAAGTGATACAAACTGGCCTAAAGATATCTTTAGAATGAGTTGTTGGATGTCTACATGGCCGTATTTATGTTAATGCATTTCCTAATGATATGTAAGCAAGGTTTTTCTGGTCCCTTATAAATAATATAGATTCTAGATTTTGTTTAGTTACTCATTTCTCTTATTACTTGGTGAAGGAACAATAGTATTTTATTGCTATAAATATAGATTATTCAAAAAATAAGACATGTAGGTATTGATTTTATACCTACCTTTAACATAATGGATGAGAGAGATGAATAATAGAGTTGTCTGAAAATGAAATAAGAGGCGAGTGGAGAGGAATTAACCTGGTTTTGTTGGGCAAAACGTGATGACAAAGTTGGAGGAATATGGACATCTGAAGGTGCTGATATCAGTGTCATAGGCGTAGCTGTAAGCGCCTGGACACGCTTGTTCGAAAGTCTCCGAGTAGATGGTCCGCTTGCATTCTTCCGGTCTTACCCCTTTCTCCACGTAAAGTCCGACACAGCAAAGCTCTCGCGACTGGTTTCTCTGACACGAAGTCCTACAAGCGAATGGATTGTTGTCGGATCCAGTACTGTCGCTGTTGCTCTGCCTAAGATCCAATGGACATGTATTGTTCATGTCAACAACGCATTTGATGCTTTTGCAGTTTCGGTTCTCTGGTGTCACAATCAAAGGGAGGTTGTAACCATTGATGACGTTGACGTCGTAATAGTCATCACCACCGTCATAAGCGAGGTTAAACTCGGCTAAAGTCGCCGGAGGAACGACGGGACGACCGTTGCACTCGATTTCGCCGGAGTTGCAGTCACCGGTGAGGCATAACAAATGTCCTGTTGAGTTTGTGGTACAGAGCGTTCTGCCCCAGAAATGACCTATCCATGACGACGTCGTATTGACCGTACGCTTCTCTCCTTTCTCCAGAATGAAACCAGTTGTGTCCACCGATCCTGCGTAGTTGTAGCTTGCAGGCCATATTGTGTATTCGCATTTGTTCTCTATTGTAAAGCTCCTCGACATCACTACAATTAACAAAATTAAGGATTTAACAGATATAGTGATTAAAACCAGACTAGCTCCCTGGAATTTTTCTTTAATAGAAACGCACGTACCCGAGACCAATAAATGTGAAGCAATCAGCATAAGCAACGGAAATCTCTCTGCCATCGATACCAAGACCAATGATAGGAAAATTATAATAATTAACTATTTTTTCTCCTTGGCATCGAATAGGAACATTTCGAGAGAAAAAAATATCTTGCCAAGGAAGAAGTAAAATGGAAATTCTCATCTTCTTTTTTTTTTTTTTTTAGATAGTCAAGTACTCAAGTATATGAACTTGCCTGACTCGGTCTTCTACACTAGCTGTGTCAAGGGCCCAGTGCCGATGGGGAAAGGAAACTAATTACAAATGCGACGTAATCTATACTATAAAACATGCTCAACTCTTTCCAAATTTGTGACACGTCAGCATCTCTGAAAGTGCCACGTGTTTTCTTTCATAGTTTGATGCTCACGCGCTTTTACTCATGCCTTCTTGTCTTCTTCTCTTTAGTTTTGAATTTACTCTGGACATTAATTTTTTCCTGCGTTTGCTCTTCTACTCTTCCCTCATTTATACGAAAATCAATTCATTTTACTTTTCTCATCTAACCATTCGTACTTTAAATCTACCAGAAGAAATATTGATACAAATGAGTGGGAGATTGGGTCTTCTCAGCTTCGCCTCTCTTCCATGGAAGCCACAAGCAAGGTAAGCGGCTTTAGACTCAAGAAAGAGATTGTGCTGGTAAAGTGTTCTAGGCATTCATAATCCATTTAAACGAAATCTTGTAACATCATTTCTGGGTTCGCAACAAATGCAACGATTATGGTGCTTATATAGATCATTCTCGGGTATTTTTGTTCTTAGGGACTGAGTATGAGTGTACGACACAGGTCTATTTCACATTGAGTATTGCCAATGAATCTATCAAGGTAATTTCTCGTATACTCTAGCTACTACAGTATATCGCTTCCTTAGAAAATAGCGGCTTCCAGAATATTGGGGGAAACAGGGTTTTCCTGTGTTGACAAAGAGCGAGAATCAAAGATAGTGTTCTTTTTTGATTAATTTAATAATGTGCTATGTTGGTATATGCGTAGATTGGGTGTGTGCACTTGTGTATCCATTGATTCTCAAGGCTTTCGAATTGTTGCAGCTTGGTTATACTGAGGAGTTGATCTGAAGTCCGAGAAGAGTATCCCTTTGCGCCTCGTCTTTGTATTAACAGTCTTGCTACGTTCAGCAAAATCCAACTGGTTGATTCCGATTCATTCAACTTTCCATTGTAAGCACCTTAGATGTAATCTTTTGTTTTTATCTGTCTTTAGTGGGTTCTATTTGCATCACAAAACTTAATCTTGGTGAGGCATGAGTCATAAAGGTATAAAACAAAAGTAAAATCATTTGAAGTTTACCAATAATAATAGTCACACACTACTTTGTCAGTCTCTCTTTTAATCTTCAGAAGCGGAGCAGTATGGAGAAGACAATGGCAATTGATGACCATATAGGTTGTCCAATGAGTATCTGATTGCTGATGCACGCACGAGCGAAGACTCAAGTGACATCTCAGTTTTTGCTTCTCGTGGTTCCTTTCTTACATCAATATGTTACCAACTATTTTTTGTTTCTCTGTAGCCTAGAACCACAGCTTCTCGTATGGTGAGCCAATGAATGTAGAATCTACAAGACAAGCTTTGTGTGATCTGGCGTTATGGTTTGGTGAAGGACATGAAGAGTCAATGGTAATAACTGCCCCATTACTCATTAATATCACAGGAAGAGTCACTAATAACAGGCTGAATTTACTCTCGTCTAAAAAGTTTCGTTATGTCTATTCCTCTATGTTTCTTACTATTTACCTTAATAGATACGTAAATCGAATTCCCCTTCTTTCACTGAACTACAATGTTGTCAGCCGGTGAGCCACGAGGATGGAATGTCTGTCGAGACGGTTTTTGGGAGAAAAAAGCTCCTTTCAGTAAGGCCTTTCCAATCACAAAATTTGTCTTTTTATTGAAACTAATACTCAGTATCACTGGTACCGAGGTCCATTTACGATTTCGACATCCAAAGGAAATGGTATAGTCTTTTCTTGACCCAAAGACCACAGCTAAGATTCAGGTAATTAAGCTTTCCTTTCATTTCAAGATCCAAACTTTACTTCTTTTTCCACTTGAAAGACTATAGTCTATAGCAGTCTCGGTTGGTTAGTAAAAAACCACTGCTTCTGTTCATTAATGGCAGGTTCTTGGCAACCAATACCAAAGCAAACTGCTAGAAATCATTCACGCCAAGTGCTAACTTGATAACTCTTTACATGTGACTTTGGAACTGTTGTTTTATCTTCAGATAAGCATCTAAAGACTCTCTCTTCTCATTGTTTGTTTAGTGAACTGCCTTTGTGGGTGGTACTTGTACCTGCGCAGATAAAGACGAATCTATGCATTCAGACAAAGGTTCATGGAACGACCCCGAGATCTTAATACATGGAAGTCGACAACGTTGCAAGTAAGACGGCAGTCTTTTATCCTGTAGTGCCCTCTTCGGAAATGAATGTTGTGTATGGTTGACAGCTGTTTTGTGATTTCTCACAATTTTGCTTACAATACCCATCCATTTGGTTATGTATTTGCATGGTTACTTGGTGGGTAATGTGCATATTTAAGTTGTACTATATATTTATATAATAGAAGAACAAAAAAAAAACCTCATTGACTTGGCTAAAGATTTGATCAATGTTTTTTTTTAATTGAATTACATCCGGAATATTTTCAATTTTGAATTCATATCAAACTCCACAAAAGTAACACAGTTTTGATTTGGCTAAATGTTTGATCAATACTCATTGTATGCAGTCACAATTTTGAATTCATATCAAACTCCAACAAAACGAGTTCTCACTATGTCACCTCATTAGCCAAAAACAATGTCCTTTCCTCACTCTAACTGCAATCTATAACTATTGATTCATGGTTGTGACTATAAATTTATATTCATTAAAGTTTTCTTGTACGTTCTAAAATTGGCAAATCCAGATATCAAAAGTTCATCACATAAGCAATTTCATGAGAATAAACCAAAACTAATTACTAGCAACTTTTTGGAGAATGGTGATAATGTGACTTAGATAATAAAATTTAGATGATTTTGCAAATATTTTAAACAAACATTAAAAAAAAACTGCGCGTATGCGCAGATACTCACCTAGTATTTTATAAATCTATTATATAATGAGAGAGTTTTCTTTCCATTTAGACTATCCACATCAGCAAACTCATAAAGCTTAACATTTAAGTATATTTAAAGTATGCATTTAATAAATATATTAATGTTTATTATTAATATATTTAGTATAAATTAAATTAAATTAAAAAATTTATAGTATAAATAAAAAATAAGTGATAATTAGATATTAATAATTAAAAACATTGTAATACTAACTGGATTAAATATATATATATTCTTAAAAATAATAAATTATTAAATTGAAAAAATATTTTAAAATGATGATAATTAAAAAAAGCAAAAATAATGAAAAATAATAAGAAAAATAGAAGGAAGAAGAAAAATCAAAATAAAAAACAGAAGATATTAAAAAGATGAAAACGAATAGAAATTAAAGACCATGAAGAGGAATATGGATAATAAAAAAAAGAACACAAAGCTGATGAAAAAGAATTTTGAAAAATATGAAAACAAAGAAAGAGAACAGAAGATAAAGATATCAAAATATGAAAATATGAAAATGAAGAAGAAGAAAAAAATTAACAAAAATGGATAAATATGATGTTTAAATTTCAAAAAAGGTAAGAATAAATGATTAAAAATTATTACTGCGCAACGTTTAGAGCATTAACAAAAAAAAAATTTTAATACTGTAATAAAAATCACACAATAATGACAGACAATATATAAAAGTACATGAAATAAAAAAAATTAACAGAAATTAATAACATAATTAAGAAAATTTGTTATTATATACAAACACTAATAAGTATTGTACAATGCAAATATAGAAAAAAAAACTATTAAATTTTAAAAAATTTATCCAACAGATTATTTTTTTTAAAAAAATATATAAAAATATAAAACACATAAAAATATAAAATAAAATCTGCGCGAAGCACATCACTACTAATGACGAGATCGTGTGGCCCAGAAAGCCCCGCAGCCGAATTTGACTCATTTTTTTTTTCTAACGACAATTTGACTTTAATACTCTCTTTATTTTTTCTGGTCAAGATTTGACTTGTCTACATAAAATAATTTGAATAATATAGTTGATTTAGATATTAGTTACCATTCTCGTCTGCTCGGCAAGAAGTTTCCTTGATTGCAACCACCTCAAGCTCCAAGATCTGCCCTTTTGGGATTCCCAGATCTCTCTTTCTCTCTCTCTTTCTCTCTCTCTCTTTCGCTTGTCACCGGAATTCGACCTCGCCGGCGGGAAAAGCTTCCGATCATCTCCTCGGCGGTAGTTGAACCTCTCAATTCGTCGATTCTGTTTCCAATTAACCAATCGATTGATTAGAAATGGGTTACTTGTTCTTCTAGGTCTTTCTTTAGCCGAGACTTTGTTGCTCTACGACACTTCAATTTACCCTTACCTCTTCAAGTTCTTCTTCAAATTCGTACTCATGGCGATTAGAATCACCTTCACCTACTCCTCCTATGTTGCCCGGAATCTCTCTTCCTCCGCCGGAGCCCGTGTTGGCTCCGGCGGGGATCTCCGCTCCTGCTTTGAGCATCTGGTTCGTCCCATGTTCTTTAGCCAGAAGCCCGATCTGGACAAATCTCCCCGGACCCGACCCGCCTCGATGTACAACAGCATCGCGAGGGAAATCATCGGAGAAGGGAGACAGAGTCCGCTTGTGATGGGACTGATCTCGGTTTTGAAGTCAACGTCGGCTCCTGAGTCAAACGTCCTCGCGATTTCACCGTTCAAGGCCTCTTCTATGATTCCGTTTCTTCAAGGGTCGAAATGGATGAATCCGCCGGAGATTGATGACGTGGACAGGGGAGGAACGGCGTGTGATGATGTTGGCAAGGAGCTCGGGAAGCTGGAGTTGAGTGATTATAAGGAATCGAGTGGAGGAAGCGGATGGGTTAATAAGCTTTTGAACATCTGTTCGGAGGATGCTAAGGCTGCTTTCACGGCGGTCACCGTCTCTTTACTTTTCCGATCGGCTCTTGCGGAGCCAAAGTCGATACCTTCCGCGTCTATGTACCCTACCCTTGACGTTGGTGATCGCATTATGGCCGAGAAGGTACCAATCCTGAGTCTTCTTTATATATAGGATCTTGATTGTAACAATAGATTATGAATGATAGATGAAATAGGTTTTGGCATGTTTATGATCTTGATTGTAATCATAGATTATGGATGGTGACTTTTACCCGGTCTCTGGAATCAGTACTTAGATGTTTAGGGAAGCATTAGTTATGTGCTACTCTTATGGTTATTGAATGTCTAAGTTGTTCTATGGGCAATAGCTAAACTGCATCCTGAGGTTTTTGTTTGAGAACTTTTAAGTTTCAATAAGTATAGGCAATAACTTAACTGACCATTTTGGCCAATCTTTGTTGTGTGCCTTGGATTTGGTCAGGTCTCATACTTTTTCAGGAAGCCAGAGGTTTCAGATATAGTAATCTTCAAGGCTCCTCCGATCTTGCTGGTAGGTCACAGTTCAAAAATTCTTGCTTTTCGGGTGTTTAAACTTCTGTGTGGTATCTTCTTACGTAAACAAGTGTTTGATGTTTTCCTTTGATTTGTAGGAACATGGTTACAGTTCTAATGATGTCTTCATAAAGAGGATAGTGGCAAGTGAAGGTGACTGGGTTGAAGTAAGCCCTTTATCCAATCCACTTGTTGATTGATCCTATTCACCCATTGAAGTCTTTCTTCACCTCGGTCGGTATTAATTCTGTTGAGGCTTTCTCGGAACAGCAAGTTTTCACAGAGATGGACCTAACGCTTTGATCTGTTTGCTTAATCAATTTTTTGTCTAACCTGTGGATGCTGTATCGTGCAGGTTCGTGATGGAAAGCTCTTTGTGAATGACAATGTGCAAGAAGAAGATTTTGTCTTAGAGCCAATGTCCTATGGAATGGAACCAATGGTGAGAAACTTGTACTTAACACTTGGTCATCCTTGTTTGAGTATCAGATTGTTGATAAGGTTTGATTTTCATGTTTCGTTGCAGTTTGTCCCACAAGGTTATGTCTTTGTTCTAGGAGACAACCGCAACAAGAGTTTCGACTCTCATAACTGGTAACTCTCTAAACGTAGCATTCTCGTAATTAGTCTTGTGTTGATTCAGGGTAATAAGCATTAATGTAAAATGTAGGGGTCCACTTCCGATAGAGAACATTGTCGGAAGATCTGTGTTCCGGTATTGGCCACCGAGCAAAGTATCAGACACCATATACCACGACCAAGCTTTGCCAAAGGGACCAGTTGCTGTTTCATGACAAAATAAAGTTGGATGCTTCTTAAGATTAAGCACAATATTGTGCGAACCTGCCTGGTCAGAATTGGGCAGCTTAGGAATTGGAAAACTCAAAATGTTATGATATCTACGGATACATTAATCTATCGTTATGGATCGTATGACATCTGCTTCTTGCTGATGGTCGGGAAGCCGGAGAAATTATGTGTACAAAAGGAGTGGAAGATGCAAAGAAAAGAAAAAAGAAAGCTTTAATGTGATTGTTGTGTGTGTTCAACCCTGAAAGCCAGACAGTGTCAAGGCAATTGTCAAACAGAAGGGTATATATATTTTTTTTCCTTCTGAGTTATGTAAAAGAACTCTGTAAACTTGTGTTGTTGTAAAAGGATAATTCCAATTAGGGATAATGTTATATCAATGCTTAATTTTGCATTTTTCTTAATTGTTAAATAGTATTAGTCTTGGTAAAAGATATGTGACGTTCGCTCTACCAAAGCTTTCTGTGAGCTGCATGTTGATAATGAAGAAAGGGGTATGAACACGAAAATTTGAAAACAGAGGTTGCCGAAAGATTAGAAAGAACTATACACTGATCTGTTGAGGAAAAGAGGAAAGGAAACTTACCTAGTCAATAAACAAAAAGGAAATTAAGTAAACGAAAAGGAAACTAGCAAAACAACCGTTGAAAAAGAGACTAATTCAGATTACAATGTAAGATTTTTTTTACACGGAGAGATTACAGACCAATCAATCAATAAACCCTAAACTTTAACATATTTCTACGAATCGATGAACTGATAAAGAACAGGGTATTGAACAAGAGAAAACAATTAGGCCTTGATGCTAGCCCTAGGCATGACTTCAGCTCCCAAGAAAGCAATGCCTCAACAATGTCAAAGCGTCTTTTCTATCATGTGGGTCAGGCGAGAAGCAAGTCATGAGAAAGAGCTTTGCATCAATAGGAAGATTTCTCGGAATCAGTGGCTCGTAACACTTCTTGAGATCCTTCAAGTCATAGTTTGTATGCCACCAAGGTTTCTTTCCAGTGTACATCTCCAACACAACACATCCCAACGACCACAGATCGAGCCCTTTCCCTGTCTCGCCGTGAGAAACCGATTCCGGCGACATATAGATCGGTGTTCCGGCATACCGACGGCGAGGCCACCAGCTATTGTCGCCATCTCTTCTCGACAATCCGAAATCAGAAATCTTCAACTCGTAAGAGGTTCTCCGGCAGCCGTTCTTGCTGACACAGCTCGGAAAAACGAGGATGTTGTCTGGTTTGAGATCGCAGTGGACATAGCCGTGTCCGTGGATCGTGGCTAAACCTTCGAGAAGCATAAGAGTAAACTTCCTGATGATATAATCAGGCAACTTGTTGTCTTTAAAGCTCTTCATGAAACTCTTCAAGCTTCCTCCAGCTGCGTACTCCATTGCGATCGTGTACTCTGAGTCACGTGCGTAGTTGACGAACATCTCTTCGTGCACACTGTCCCAATAGCACTGGACGATTCTCGAACATCCTTTGAATTCAGACAGGATTTTAAACTCTCTGAAGAGAGCCTCGGCGTGATCATCGTCGGAGGTTTTCAGGGCGGTGAAAACTGTCTTCCCGTCGCGTTCTCCTCTGAATAAACTCACGGAACCATAAGAACCTTTACCGAGAAACTTTTCGAAGTACATAGCCATCGCAATAGGTCAGCAATCTGATTCTTCTGATAACCCTAGACACCAAGCTTTTTACGACGAAGGTGTCAAGTCTCAAAGAACAATATATATATACTGTCATGTTTTCCTTTTTTCCTTTTTAACGAGAAGTTCAGATATGGAAGAAAAAGGAAAAAATCAAATTAGTACCGTTGTGGATTTTATTGTGCCTCTCGTTAATTTATATCAAATAAGTCGCATTATAATATTTCAAGATTTATTTAATATATATAGTATAGAAGAATCAACTGTATAACGGAGAGATATAATCTGAAAATTGTAGTAACTCAAGTTGAACCCAATGAAAAGTACAAATCTGAAACAAAAAAATCTAAAAATTGATTTACTGATCAAAATTTTATAGTTTTTTTATTGGGAGGATTACTACACTAACCTTAGAAAGTATCTATATTATTTGTTTGACGCACTTTTATTTTTTTTACAAAACTAACCTAGCATACCCAAAACACCTTTTTTGTCTTTGTTAAAAAAACCTAATTACGAAAATGTCATTACTTTTTTAATGCCACGTAGGCAGATTATAGCGCTGAAAATTTGATAAGTCTACTAGACTTTGACGGTAGACTTATCAAATTTTGGTCAATGCAAAAATTTTGTCGGTAGAGTTATTAGGTCGATGGTAGATTTATTCGAGAGTTGGTAGAGTTTACAAATGTTGGTAGACTTATCTTGGTAGAGTTTTGACGATGAGAGGTAGATTTATTATGTTTCGGTAGATTTATTATGTTTCGGTAGATTTGTTGTTATGAATGGTAGACTTGTCAAAGGTGTTGGTAGACTTGTTAAAGAAAGCGTTGACTTTCTCGCATAGTTGACTTTCTCGGTAGATTTATTGACAGTGAAGTAGATTTATTTTCTGAGTTGGTAGACTTATGTCATTTGGCAGTAGATTTATGTGTCAAAACGTGATGGTAAATATATCTGTTTTATGGTAGAGTTATATCTTGTTGGTAGATTTTTTGCTTTTGTGGTAGAGATGTTTGTTTTGTGGTAGATTTAAATTCAAGTAAAATTCATTCCAGTGAGTGGTAGATTATTTGTTACATGAGGTAGACTTACATAATGTTGGTAGATTTATTTGTTTTGTGGTAGATATGTTTGTTTTGTGGTAGATTTAAATTCAAGTAAAATTTATTCCGGTGAGTGGTAGATTATTTGTTACATGAGGTAGACTTACAGAATATTGGTAGATATGTTTGTTTATTTGGTAGAGTTTATGTAATCTGGTAGAGTTATCGTACGTATGGTAGACTTCTTATAATAATCATGTGGTAGATTAATTAAGTTTGGTATTTACAAAGATAATCTCGATCTGGTAGACATATGAGATGCTTATGGTAGACTTGTATATATGGCAGAGTTATTTTTCATGCTTGAGGTAGACTTAGTTGTTTGGCAGACATTTGACTTTATGGATTGAAATTACTTTTTTGTCCTAAAAGTATTGTCCTATCTACGAAAAAACCAGAGGTGTGGTAGACTTGTTTTGAAATGTCGTATGTTAAACAAGTTTCGTACATATGGTAGACTTGTTCCATGGTTATATTTGAGTTGGTTTTGTTACCATTAACGTTTTCTTTGCATGAGTTTGCTAAGATTATGTCGGTTAACTGTGATTCGATCACAGATGATTATTGGTATTACGATATAGATGCCATAATCAATGGTCAAAAATTTCTAACATGAATATTTTTTCTATGTTATATATTTTCTCTAAGATAATTTTGCTTTTCATATTAACTTTGAACATATATGTCATATCTGTAATAACCATCTCTTAACTTATGATTTTTTTATTTTTATTTTTGAATATTTGTTACATTTAATTCTATTTACATAAACTCTTACAACATCACAATATCAAATGATTTTAGTCATGTGTTTTGATTAAAATTTTATTCAGTTATGATATACATCATAGTGAAAGTAAAGAAATAAATTAAATTGAATAATAACATTACTAGCAAATATGGTAAAAATGTGAAAATGTCTGGGTCAATGTTTTACGACAAATATAATTTGAAAACAACAATATTATCATTTAAAATCTAATTATCATTTTTACAAATTCAAAATACAGATATACCATCAATTTAATAATAAATCTACCATTATTTCAAAACAAATCTACCAAATGCAAATCTACAATTAATTCATAGTAAAACATGTCGGATCGATGCTGGATATCCCATTAAAGATTTGTTCACCATGACAAAGCCCATAATCTGTCAGAAAAAAATAAACAAATACTGTCATTCGTATATAAAATTCAAATATATACGACTGATAAATCTACCATAAATAACTAATAAATCTACCAAACACAAATCATTTTTCAAATAAGTTACCATTAAATGACTAATAAATCTACCAAACCACATCGTATTACAAATAAATCTATCATTAGATGACTAATAAATCTACTAAATGACATCGTTTTTACTCTAAAATAATTTTACCATCAAATAACTAATAAATCTACCAAACCATAGTTCGTTTTCTAAATATCTACCATCAAATAACTAATCTACCAAACTACATATCGTTTTTCAAAAAAATCTACCATCACATATTATGAACTTTACAACAAAAAATACAATAAATCTACCAAACTACTTATCGTTTTCCAAATATATCTACCAAACTTACTTGAAACAAAAAAAAAATTAGGGTTGCGGGTTTTACAGAAAAAAACTTATGCCGCCGTCAACCTCTGGAACACCACCATTTCTTCGAAACAACATCTGTCCAGTGCGGTTGTGCGCGATGCGGCGAGAACGCTACTTAAGAGTCGTGCCAATATTTCCGAGATCTCTAACACCAACAGTAAAACTCCTCCTCCGCCAAACAGAAAGTAGAAGACGAAGGGAAAGAGGAAGACGAAGAAGAAAGAAGAAAAAATAAGAAAAATGAGGATATATGAGAAAAAAAACAAACCTGAACAAGTTTCTGAACGGCGATTGAGGCAAAATCTGTGTGGATCTGTGAAACAAAAGAAAAGCTGTGAAGAGAAAGCTGCGAAAAAAGGGAGGCTGCCAAGTTATGAAGAAGAGCAGCTCCATGGGAGAAAAAAAAATGGTGCAGGAGAAAGAGAGAGAGAAGAAGATGAATTAGGGTTTTTTTTTTAGTTTTTGGTTTTGTTTTTTTTTTTTTTTTTTTTTCGTTTTAAAAAATGTTTTTTTTTTCGTCAAAAAAATTTCGATTTTGTAAAAAGTTTTTTTCGAAAGTAAAGTTTTTTCGAAAAAAAAAAATTTATAAAAAAAAAATCATAAGGGCATTTTCGTATAATATTCAACATCTGGATAAAATGGACTTAAACCAATTTCATAAGGTTAGTCTAGTAAGCCATTCAATATGTTAAGTTAGGTTTATCATTTCATTAACCTTAAATGTTAGTCTGAGGAATTTTCACTTTTTTATTTAATTTATTTGCTTTAACTCTATCTGAAATCCGTTTTCCGTTTGCAAAATGAAACTCTCGCAGTAGAAACACGATTTGAGTAGCAAATGAATATCACAGTAAAATATATGGAAAACTTAGCCAGTATACATCACTAAATTGAGATATAGATGAAATAAACATGTAAAACAAAAAAGGATAAACATAGGATAATTAATAGCTAAATAAATGTTCATACAAAAGAAAACTAAATGAATGTCTTTAAAACCAAAAAAAAACTAAATGAATGTCTTGATTATAACT